TGAAATACAAAATAAATGAATAAAAAATTTTTTTCTTTAAGACGATCAATTTATTAATTTTTATTTGATTTCTTAATATATAATCCAAAGTTAGATCTATAAAAAAAATGAAAGGGAACATTAATAGATGTTCCCAATTAAAGAAATATAAAGAAAATGGAAGTTCGCGAACTTACCGTTCTAAGTGTCCTAAATGTCCTAAGCCTGATTCCTACAAAACAAAACAAAAGGGAACGTTAGTGACGTTCCCAATTAAAAAAAAAAGAAACAGAAGTTTCGTAATGAAATATACTGTTCCAAATGTTCCCAAACTCCGAAAATCCCCAGTTCTTACAAAAAAATAATAAAAGGAACGTTAATTATGTTCATTAAAGCAAAATCAAAAAGCAAAATGAACGAACTTACATAATTCGTTCATTTAAAATTCTGGTCATCCGGTTCGTCCAGTTCATCCAGGTCTCCTAAAAATAAAGGGAACGTTAGTGGCGTTCCCAATTAAAAAAAACAAAAGAAACGGAAGTTTCGTAATGAAACATACCGTTCCAAATGTTCCCAAACCCCGAAAATCTACAGTTTCTATAAAGAAAAAGAAAGGGAACGTTAGTTACATTTCCAATTAGAAAAATAACAAAAGAAACGGAAGCTTTGCAACGAAACTTACCATTCCAAAAAAGAATGAACTTACTACTGGTCGTCCAGTTTGTCTAAATAAAAAAAAAATATTAGTATAACATAGTCTCAGAGGGTCAAATTGATAGCAAAAATTTATCATAATACAACAGTGTAACTATCTTTCATACATTTAAATCATGTGATGTAGATCATCATACCTAAAATTAGAAACATTTATTATTGGTCCAAAAATGTCCTGATTGTGTAACACTATTGTTGTCATTGTTATTTCAAAATATACTACACCTCTCATACCTCAATTTTCATAGCACAGAACCCATATGATCATATTGCTAAAATCATTATATTTTTTATAAAATCAGATTAATTACTAATCTTAATCTTACTCTTAAACATATATTTTATGAAAATACTAGTATTATATAAGAAATTTACTAGAAAAATGGAGTTCTGAGAATTTTTACCTAAAATTTTATTCCTATTGCTTTTAATCTAATATCATCAAAAATTAAAATACAATAAAATTTAAAAATTCTTAGAACTCCATTTTCTTAGCAAACTCATATATTACTTATTTTTAAAAATAACTAGATAAATTTTCTAATTAAATAACTAATTATAGTATTTTTAATAAAATAAAAATAAAGGTTTAAGAATTATTTTACTAAAATTTAATTCTTATTGCATTTTAATCTAATATTATCAAAAATTAAAATGCAATAAACATTAAAATTTTATTAAAAAATCCTTAGAATCCCATTTTTCTAGCAAACCTTTCATATAATAAAATATAAAATTTGTTATAAGTATGATAAATATTGATAAATAATTTCTTTGATAGATATTTTTTTTTAAAACCAATTTAATTAAATATTAAAAACTGTTTGATTTTTATGACAAAATAAGATTCTTTATTAATTTTTTATCTTAATATAATGAGACTTCTTTAAAATACACTTTTTTAAAATTTACAGGTTATATTTTTTTCTTAAATACATACTCTATCATAAAATTTTATCTTTAATAGATTATCAGCCAATCAGATAAATGATTTTGGACCAATCAAATTTATGGAGGTACAGGATATAATTTAGTCCATTTTAACAGATGACAAATTGATTATTTCACGTGATGCGAAGGAGCAATGAAAAATCTCACTGTAAATAAAAAAAGATCTGGCTGAATATACATACGCGCTGAAAAAAAAATTTTTTTTAACAAATCAATTCGAAAATGTTAGGATTTGACATTTCAAGGCTTCCTCAAACCGAAGATGATATCGACTTTTCTGATATCGAATCAAAATATCAAGTTCCTTATGAAGAAGGTTTTGATACAATTATTGTTGTGGATAATGTTCCGATAGTTGACGAAAGCAAACAAGACAAATTATTAAAATTTATAAAGAAAATTTTTAAGAATGCTGGAGATATTAAAGAAAATGGAATTAATATGCCAATGGACGCTGATCCGGCAACTGGAAAGTTGGCTTCTAAAGGGTTTGCCAATAAATTATTTACATTAATTTTATTTTAAATTATTTATATTTAATGATGTTTAACGTTTCTAGATATCTCTTCATTGAATTTGAAACACCCGAACAAGCAAGTCTGGCTATAAAAAATTATGATAATTATTCAATGGATAAAACGCATTGTCTTGCTGTAAATAGATTTACAGATGTTGAAAAATATTCAGTAATTGAAGAAGAATACAAAGAACCTGAAGAAGAAAAGTTTGTTGAAAAAGTATGTAAATTTTTTTAATGAGATAATCCAAAAAAAAAGACGTAAATTATATAATTCGCGAATATTATAGGAACATTTAAGAAGCTGGCTTACGGATCCGCAAGCACGTGATCAATTCGTGCTTTATCGTGGAGATGATGTGAGCATTTTCTGGAATAAGAAGGCTGAACCTCCAGAAGAAGAGCATAAACGTGTTGTAAGGATTATTTTCGTATTTTCTTTGTTTTTTTTCGAGATCATTATTAAATATATATGACTTATTATAGAATTGGACTGAAACATATGTTCAATGGTCACCCTTGGGAACTTACTTAGCTACATTTCATCGTCAGGGGATTGCTTTATGGGGAGGACCTAGCTGGAACAAGATCATTAGGTTCGTTCATCCTGGCGTCAAACTGATAGATTTTTCGCCCAATGAACGCTTTCTCGTTACATGGAGTAATGAGTCTATTTCTCTCGGGCCAAATGGTGGCATAGGTTCTCCATTTGGACCTGAAGATGAAGGACATCAAATTATTATATGGGATGTTTTAACTGGAAACCTTTTGCGTTCATTTCCTTCTTCAACGTCGACTGATGGTGCTCCTAATAAAATCACATGGCCAATGTTTAAATGGTCTCCATCAGACAAATATTTTGCCAGGGTTACGCCAAAGCAACAGATTTCTGTATATGAAACACCCTCAATGGGATTGGTTGGAAAGAAAAGTATTAAAGTTGAAGGAGTAGAAGATTTTGAGTGGGCTCCTGCTTCTGATAAAAAAGAAAAACAGAACGCAAGTGACAAAAAGAATAGTGAGGAAATGCTAAGTTACTGGACACCTGAAATTGGTAATCAACCTGCTCGCGTCACTTTATTAAACATTCCATCCAAAGAGATTATACGAACGAGAAATTTGGTTAATGTTAAAGACGTAAGTTAATGAAATTTGTTAAGTATAAATTCAAGGTTATATTTATTTTTATTATATTGTCATTTTGATTTATCTTAGTGTAAGATGCATTGGCAATCAAATGGAGATTTCTTGTGTGTTAAAATTGATCGGCACACAAAAACCAAAAAATCCACTTTCGCAAACCTTGAAATATTTAGAGTCCTTGAGAAAGATATCCCCGTTGAAGTCATTGAGGTTAAGGATACTGTGATTGCTTTTGCATGGGAACCTAAGGGTGAACGTTTCGCAATTATTACAACAAATGACCCTAATTATGGACAGTCAACACAAGGTGTGAGAACTAATGTTTCATTTTATTATCTTGAGAAACCTAAACCTGGTAAAGGTGGAGACAAAGTTAGCACGGCTAACTTTAAGCTAATTAGTAAGTACCAAGGAATTAATACATTATGCGTAACAATTTTTTATTGAAAATTTCTTTAAGTACCATGATAAATCACCTTTTTTTTTCCAGAAACATTGGAAAAGAAAACTTCTAATGCCATTTATTGGTCACCGCGCGGGCGACATGTAATTTTGGCAACTCTTCGTTCAACAGCTGTATTTGACTTGGAGTTTTGGGATTTGGATTTTGATACAATTGGTGATCAAAAGGAAGGATCAAAAAATGATCCAGCTGCTTCTATACAGCTAATGTCTACTCAGGAACACTACGGTGTTACAGATATTGAATGGGACCCTACTGGACGTTATGTAATTACTAGTGCTAGTTTTTGGAGACATTCGGTAAGTAATCTAATTGGGAATAACTTCCTACCAAAAGGATTGTCAATTCACTTTTTTATACTTAATTTCTAGATGGAAAATGGATATTCTTTATGGGATTTTAAAGGAACACTTTTGCAAAAACAATTGTTAGATAAGTTTAAGCAATTGTTATGGAGACCTCGTCCAAAGAGTCTATTATCGAGTGAGGCTAAAAAGAAAATCAAAAAGAACATAAGAGATTACTCTAAGGCTTTTGAAGAAGAAGACGCTCTTGCACAAACTTCGGTATCTAAAGAATTATTGGCACATCGTCGTCGCCTTGTTGATGAATGGAATGCTTGGCGTAAACGTGTTGAAAAGGAATTAGCTGAAGAAAAAGAAAGAGCAGGCGTGCAAATTATCCCTAGAAGATATGATGATGAGAAAGTGGAAATGATTGAAGAATGGATTGAAGAAGTTGTAGAAGAAACCGAAGAAATTGTTGAGGATTAGTTAACTTTTATCATTAATTTAATAATTAATGTTTTGAGAGTTGATTATATTTAATTATTTTAAAATGTATAATACAAAAATTTGACGGATATTCTGTGTTCAATGCTATCTTTATTGAAAATTTTTCAACTAAATAAAAAGATGAATTGCAAAATTTAACAAATAAGGGATTCTCAATATCAATTTTCTTAAGAAAAATTACTGTTCTAATCCTTTTTATTTTTACTATGAAGTTCATCTAGGTTTCCTTCAATTTCTGCTAATTTTTCCTTTTGTTTGGCAATTTCTTCACGAAGATGTTTGATTTTCTCAGCATCCTATAAATATATAAAAGGAGTTATTAAATTATTTTTCATTAATATTGTTAAATACAATTAATTACATGAGCACGAATCCACTGGTCTTCAATAGCCTTTTCTTTTTTGGAAAAAGCCGAGTCAGAAGCATCTCTAATATGACCTTCAGGTCCAGAAGCATAATAACGAGATCGTGTGAATATAGTGGTAGCAGCAGCCAGCTGTGTATTTAATAAAAGACAATTTTGTCTTGCTAATGTTGCTGTTTGAACATTATTTTTAAATAAACAAAAGGATCCGAAACGAGAAAGTACAGTTCGCATTTTTATCTCACTCGATTGGAATTGCGTTTTGTTTTAACAAAGTGAAAGTGGCTTATGGACTTTTGATCTAGTCAATCTGATTAAAAACCTAGGTGATTGGTTACTAAAGTTGGCCTTTTTATAAAAAAATCAAGATGGGGTGCGATAAATCTTCCACGTGACTCAATGTGCTACTTCAATGTATTTGTCATCTTATTTGTCACATGTTTAATTTCGGCCAAGTTCTATAATGCCGGCCAAAAATTAGTGAGAAAGAAACAATATTAGGGTATCTTTTCTAACAAAAAAAGCTTGGGTCATATGATTATATGATCTCAGGTATTCCCTATATTTCAAGTTATCCATCACATCAGATTTCCTTTAATGTGCCTATATAAGATATAACATTCTAACCGGAAACTCAAACCACTTGTTGTGATCTGAATTGAATTAGATATTTAGCATCAAGGATACTATCAAGATTGAATAGAATCATTTTTTACTAATTAATCTGACTTAAACTTATGATATATTGTTTGTTCTAAAAGAATAATGAAAAAAATCATTCTAAAGGAACAATGATGTATCATTCCAAAAGAATATTAAAAAAAATCGTTCTAAAGGAACAATGATGTATCATTCTAAAAGAATAATGAAAAAAATTATTCTTTCAGAATGATAATGTATCATTCTAAAAGAATGATAAAAAACATGTGATATACATTAGGATTAGATAATTTAAGGTTGGTTTATTAAAATTAGTCACATTATACATATATATATGGGAGCTTTGCAATAGAAAGGGAGGAAACTCTAAAAAAATTAAAATTTTACTTTCTAAGCTAATTATGATTTTTTTTGTAAAATAAGTCTAGATTTAACATTAACTCAAAAAAATTTTTTTTAGAGTTTCCTCCCTTTCTATTGCAAAGCTCCCATATAATCATATGACTTGAGTTTTTTTTGATAGTATTATTAGAAAAGTTTATTAAGATAACAACCTATCAAAAAAAGCTTAGATTATACACAAAGAACTGGATAACACTCTTATAAGAGTGTTATCCAGTTGCGTTATAATGTTATCTAGTTGTGAGTATAATGTTATCTAGTTATGAATATACTGTTACCTAGTTCTATGTTTTCGAGACTCTGTGGCCTTTTTATTGCTTTATTGCTATCCACTTGATTTTATTACTTTATAGCCTTTTTATTACCTTCTAGCTATTCATTGTTTTCATTGCTCTGTGGCCTTTTTATGGCCAAGATGCTAGGTCGACATTGATTGCTTATAATCATGTTGTGATCGGGTGGCGCAGTAAATTTGCGATCAGATTTTGGCCGACACTATGCTATATTTTTGACCTGATATTTAGGGAGGAATATCTTGGCTTCCTGTGATTGGATTCGTGCGGTTTTACACTCGTTCTGATGAGGGCGTTGAGAGCTTTCCAATGATGCTAAGATCGCATGAATCGGATGCCTGGATGCCGAGTTATGGCGTCTCAAAGTTTTGGAAAAAAATATGGAATAGTGCTGGCCGAAATTAAGCGAATTTATACTGCGCCTTACTGCGCCAGTCACGTGATACTGTTCTGGTGCCGGGACACCCTCACATAGTTGCTTTGCTATTTCTTGATTGCCGGATGAGGCACAAAGTGCCGAATTTGCAATCCATCTATTTGTCGAAGACATTTCACAATCCATTCCTTCACTTTTTGATTGCCAGGAATGAGGCACAAAGTGCCGAATTGGTGGCCCAGATGCGCAATTCCACCTTTCGTGACCCTTTTGATTGCTGAGGATGAGGCACGAAGTGCCGAATTGGTGACCCAGATGAGCACTCCTGTCTTCCATAATCCTTTTGATTGCCGAGGATGAGACACGAAGTGCCGAATTTGTGCCCATTCTTGCAATCCCGCCTCTTGTATGTTTTTTTTGATTGCTGAGTGAGGCACATGCGGAGTGTCGAATTGGTTTAGGCTATATTGCTTTCATACCCTTTTTCGTGTATTCTTCTGAACCTTTCTGCCTTCCCGGTCTCTTTCCTGCCTATCACATGGTGACCCGGATGCGCCAAACTTATCTCTCTCTTTTCTATATATAATTTTGCGCATTTGGGTCACCTAAATTTGCCACGCTTTTGGCTTCTAGACCCTGTTCCTGTATAGTTACTACTTTAGGATACTTTTGGGTAATACTGCATCGATTGTTTTTGGGTATTACTTTTGGGTATTACCACATCGATTACTTTGGGGTACTACCACTAACCCAATACTATACCGGCGATCATATAGATTTTTTATTTGAACTTTGCATGTTTCTTTGTTATTTTATACTTGCTTCTTGCATATACTACTATGCTATCTGCGCAAAAAAAGATTTCCCCTGCCCCTAACCCCACTTGTTTGTTCCGAACAAATTAGTCTGGAGCTGTATGATTATTACCACAAATTTCTGTACGTGATATTCTATTGTACCTATAAAATGCAAGACGATATTGACACTAAAGCCTTAGCATATGCCTGGAGGCGGAAAGGTAAATGCTTAGCTAAAGTTAGTCCTAATACATATTTATGGGCATGTAAGAAAAATCATCAATGGGAGGCACCATATAAAAATATGAAACAGAATTATAGATGATGCAACATTTGCCCTAAAGTACCGGAAAGAACATGCCGGTATATATTTGAAGATTTATTAAATAAAAAATTCCCGCCCAGAAAACCCAAATTTTTAGAGGGCTTACACCTAGACGGATACAATGAAGAGTTAAGTTTGGCTTTCGAATATAGTGGTAATCAGCATTATCAAATTGTCCCTTTTTTTCATCTGCAAGGGCAAATGAATCTAGACGCACAAATCTGTCGTGATTGGAAGAAAAAGGCGCTATGCTACAGAGAAGGAGTAATCCTTATTACAGTGCCCTATTGCGTAGTAGACTTAGAGACTTTTATAAGGAGCGCCTTGCACGCGTTCAGTTATCTCCCAATACCCACCTAGGAGGTAACATGGGCTCTTCCTTAATATGCATTAATTGTTCTCTTACAAAAGGGTGTTGAGGTCCTGATTCATCTAAGTAATATAAAATAGGCATTAGGGGTTCTTTCCAACAACAATTCTTCGAATTTTATGTAAGCTAGGGGACCATATTGGGTCTGTTATTCTGCGCCGTTCAAAAGGATCATTTTCCCATTCTCCTTTAGCAAGCAAAAATCGGATAGTAGTACCCTTTGGTAGTTGTGGCTCATCAACACCTATTGGGCGATTATATTTTACCGATGGTTTGGAATATATCCGCTCCAGTTTTGTGGCATCATTAGGACTCATTCCAATTAGCCGAGTTGGAGTATCATTCATATTATCAACAATTCTTCTCGCAAACCGCTCACATTCTCTACAGCGCTCGCCAGTAGGCAGGAGAAACTCTACTGAATACTGATTTTTAAAAACTCTTAATTCGAATAATCCAGCATAACGGTCAACCATAGCCAAGCTTGTATGTCTGAAACGTGCTATAATCCTTCAGATTTCAACACTGTGTTCGTCCATTAATAAAGTCACATATCCCATAAACTCAGTACCTTTATCACATTGTAATTTTCGAGGCCAGTTGAGAGGCTTATCAGGATTATCATATATACTCTTAAATGCTTCTGCGACTTCTTCACTGCTCTTTGATATTAAAAAAACGAAATCTTTATATCTAGTCGCGCAGTCTATAACTAATAGTACATAGTAATATATTGGGCCATCATCTAGTAAATTGGTATCCACATCTTCGTCGTATGGTATTTCGATCAAATCACATTGGTGCACAGTATTTGGCTTCGTAATTTTAGAGTAACTGGCATAAGGTATATGCTTTGGCGAAGGACGAAAAATTTGGTACAATGCTTGCCTATCAAGCCATTTTTTTACATC